ACCGTACCCTTTTATGTAATGATGTTTACTTTGAATTTATATTAGTTCACACAAACACTCCATCCATGCTTTTGTTCCGGCCCTCCTGTCCAGTTTAAGAACCCATTGTGGCCCTCGAGTCAAAAAGTTTGCCCACCCCTGGTATAATGTATACTTTCTTTTTAAGTATTTTACTCATCGTCATGGCAGCTGGCCTCTGATTTCCCATTTTGTGGGAGAGCAGGAATCATCTTCCCTTTATTCCTTTTTAAGTCTAGTTTCTCTTTCAGCACTAGACATTTTTACCAGTAATTCTGTCCATCCTGGCATCACCTGGCATGTTCCCTATGTGCTGAGCTGAGCTCCCTTCTTAAAGATCTCTACTCCTTCATTTGATGACAAAAAAAACCTTATCATCCTATGTGAGTTACAGCCCAAACTAGGTCATGACTGCTGTCTGCTTCAAGTGACTTCCATTTTAGTTTTCCTAATTTAGATTTTTCTTTATTCTTAGATGTTATCACTGCATTAACCTTCCTTAAACTTTTGCTTTTATATCATATTTTAATGGCTTTACTTAGATTTAATTTATATAGGATACAATATACCCATTTAAAATATACAGTCAGCCCTGGATGGGTTGCTCAGTTGGCTGGAACATCACCCTGTACACCAAAAAAAGTTGAGGGTTAGACCACTGGTTGGGGCTCAGAATGGGAAGCAACCAATCGATGTTTCTCTCACATTGATATTTCTTTCTCTCTCTCTCTCTCTCTCTCTCTCTCTCTCTCTTTTAAATTAATAAAAACATATCCTCAGGTGAGAATTAGAAAAAAAAATATATAACATACATATAGGTGGCTAGATTTTAGTATATTTATATAGTTGGTGATGGTTATTACCACAATCAATTTTGGAACATTTTATATGTATATATTCTAATCGTGGCTTTGATTCCTTCAGCGTTGTAGTAATTTTGGAAATTGCAAAGAGTGAATTCTCCAACTCTGTTCTTCTCTTTCAAGACAGTTTTAACATCTGGATCCTTTAGTTTCCATTGTAATATTAGAATCAGCTTGTAAATTTCTGCAAAAAAACGCAGCTAGTATTTTGATAGGGATTACATTAAATATGTATCTGAGTTGGGTAGTAATTTTATCTTAAGCATATTCTGCATCCTAATTGGGGTAATTGGTTGTTTTTCTATCTAATTTGGTCTTTAATTTCTTCCAACATTTCATAAGTTTCAGAATAAAAGTTTGACACTGGCCTTTCTTAAATTTGTTCCTATATATAATATTCTTTTTTCTTATGTAGTTAATTGGATTGGTTTCTTGATTGCATTTTCAAATTATTCATTTCCAGGATGTGAAAATAGAATTGATTGCTTTCCCATCATTTTCTGATGACTCTTGGTTGCAGATAACCAACTTTCCTATCACATGAAATTACAGTTTCCCTTTTAGTGATCTCTGGGATCTGCTATTATCTTGATTAGAAAGTTTCTGTCCTTTTTCTAAACTCTCTTTAATGTGTTCCATACCTGTGATTGTGTCCTGCAATTGATGTGATTGCTTTATTTTTTTAAAGCTTGCATTCTGATAGCCAAATGTTTTTGAAGCTAAGAACACTAAAGGAAAAGATAGAAATAAACAGATCTTGTCCCTACTCTCCCCATGGCTTTTGTTCTCAGTAGAAGTACTATGTAATCAGTAGTTAACATATATTTAGGGAAACATTGCTCTAAGGAAAATCAACACACTTGGTGACACAGTGGGTGTTCATCCTGGAACTGAGCTGTTACCAGAGGGAATGGCTCTATGGTAAGGTTCCTTTAAGCACATAGATGAGGGATATAAGTCAGGTCTATGGAGTTTTCCAAATGTGAGACGGTGGAAAGTTCAAAGAGTTGCATCTGGAATGTGGTTGTGGAAATTCTGAAAATTTGTATGCCTAGGCTGTAATGAGCAAGAGGGAAAAAAGGAAAATGGGGCGGCAGCTGGAAGTTCTGAGATATTGGTCACGCATTGCCTGGGGAGGCTATTTAAGACCTTGCTTTCATTCCACATGAGTTGAGAAACCAGTGGGGACTTTTGCCAGAGTGGCATTATTTCACTAATGCTTAAAATGCACCACTTTGCCTGTGGTGTGGAAGGTAAGCATTCTCAGGGAGGGGAGTGTAGTGTTATACTTACAGTTACAATTATTAGAGCGCCAGCCTGCAGACTGAAAGGTCCCAGGTTCGATTCCGGTCAAGGGCATGTACCTTAGTTGTGGGCACATCCCCAGTAGGAGGTGTGCAGGAGGCAGCTGATCGATGTTTCTCTATCATCGATGTTTCTAACTCTCTATCCCTCTCCTTCCTCTCTGTAAAAAAATCAATAAAATATATATTTTAAAGAATTGGACATTTCGAAAGGCTCAGTGGATAGAGCGCCAGCCTGCAGACTGAAAGGTCCCAGGTTCGATTCCGGTCAAGGGCATGTACCTTAGTTGTGGGCACATCCCCAGTAGGAGGTGTGCAGGAGGCAGCTGATCGATGTTTCTCTATCATCGATGTTTCTAACTCTCTATCCCTCTCCTTCCTCTCTGTAAAAAAATCAATAAAATATATATTTTAAAGAATTGGACATTTCGAAAGGCTCAGTGGATAGAGCGCCAGCCTGCAGACTGAAAGGTCCCAGGTTCGATTCCGGTCAAGGGCATGTACCTTAGTTGTGGGCACATCCCCAGTAGGAGGTGTGCAGGAGGCAGCTGATCGATGTTTCTCTATCATCGATGTTTCTAACTCTCTATCCCTCTCCTTCCTCTCTGTAAAAAAATCAATAAAATATATATTTTAAAGAATTGGACATTTCGAAAGGCTCAGTGGATAGAGCGCCAGCCTGCAGACTGAAAGGTCCCAGGTTCGATTCCGGTCAAGGGCATGTACCTTAGTTGTGGGCACATCCCCAGTAGGAGGTGTGCAGGAGGCAGCTGATCGATGTTTCTCTATCATCGATGTTTCTAACTCTCTATCCCTCTCCTTCCTCTCTGTAAAAAATCAATAAAATGTATTTTTTTTAAAAAAGAACTATGCATGAAGACAAAACATATTTTTTATTTTGCATCATATAGGATTGTCACTAAATAGTTACTTTATGTGACGGCTTTTTACAAAACAGTTTTATTTCAAACAAGGATTGTGAGTGATTCCAGAATGATTCCCTGTTCTCTTCTGTCCTAGAACTCAGGAAGGTGGATGATCTTCTGCAGCATCACGTGCAAATCCAAAGCCTTCAGAAGAGGGTCGACCGAGGCTGTGAACATAGTATGTTAGCAGATACTGTTAATCAGAGTGAAGATCATTCTCTATTCAAGCAAAATTGTGATATGTTTGAGATAAGTGAAAAACCTTTAAAGTCAAATTTAAATTTTGGAAACCAAAACAGAAGTTGTAACTTAAAGAATTCTGTGGAATTGAAGGGAGATGGTATATCCATTCTTCATGCCAACCATGAACAATTTAATTCTGAGATCATGTTGCCTGTCGGTACCAAATCCATTAGTAATCAATCCCAGGTCACTCAGCAACAGAAATCTCACAATGTAGAGAAAGCCCATGTATGTGTTGGATGCGGGGAAGCCTTCATGAAAACGTCTCAGCTCACTGATCATCAGAGAGTTCATACTAGTGAGAAACCCTATGGGTGCAGTCTGTGTGGGAAAGGCTTTAGCAGAAAATCCAGGCTCACTAAACATCAGAAAATACATACGGGACTCAAACAGAATGAATGCACTGAATGCGACAAAACCTTCCTCAAGACATCCCAGTTCAATAAACATCAGAAAAGTCACATGAAAGAGAAACCTTATATGTGTAGTGAATGTGGGAAAGCGTTCATCAAAAAGTCTCTTCTCATTTATCATCAACGAACTCACACTGGAGAGAAGCCTTATACATGCAGTGAATGTGGAAGAGGTTTTACCAAGAAGTGTCATCTTACTGAGCATCACCGAACTCACACAGGAGAGAGACCTTATACGTGCAGTGAATGTGGGAAAGGCTTTATCAACAAGAGTAATCTTATTGAGCATCACAGAACTCATACAGGAGAGAAACCTTATACATGCCGTGAATGTGGGAAAGGATTCTCAGTGAAGCACCGCCTCATAGGACATCAGCGAACTCATACAGGAGAGAAACCCTATGGATGCAAACTATGTGGCAAAACCTTCTCTATAAAGTTTAATCTCACTAAACATCAGAGAACTCACACGGGAGAAAAACCTTTTTTATGCAGTGAATGTGGGAAACACTTCTCAATGAAGCAGTGCCTTATTGGACATCAGCGAATTCATACTGGAGAGAAACCCTATGTATGTGTTGTGTGTGAAAAAGGTTTCCCCAGGAGGGGTGATCTCACTATACATCAGCGAAGTCATACTTCAGAGAAACCATATATATGCAACGACTGTGGAAAGGGCTTCACCGTGAAGAGTCGTCTGATTATACATCAGCGAATGCACACAGGAGAAAAGCCTTTTTTATGCAGTGAATGTGGGAAAGGCTTCTCATTGAAGCAGGGCCTTGTTGGACATCAGCGAACACATACTGGAGAGAAACCCTATGTATGTGTGGTGTGTGAAAAAGGCTTCACCATGAAGCGTGATCTCACTGTACATCAGCGAAGTCATAATTTAGATAAACCATATACGTGCAATGAATGTGGGAAGGGCTTCACTGTGAAGAGTTGTCTGATTGTACATCAGCGAATGCACACGGGAGAGAAACCCTATGTATGCAGTGAATGTGGAAAAGGCTTCCCAGTGAAAATGTACCTGACGGTACATCAACGGACTCATACAGGAGAGAAACCTTATATATGTAGTGTATGCTGGGAAGGTTTCACAGCGAAGCAAAATCTCATTAGACATCTGCTGAAACATACAGGAGAGAAGCCCTATGTATGTAATTTGTGTGGAAAAGGGTTCACCATGAAGACTGACCTCACTTTACATCAGCAAACTCATACTTAAGAGAAACTGTATGTGCAGTGCATATGAGGAAGGCTTCATTGTGAAGAGTATACTAGATATACATCAGCAAAACTCATGCTGCAGAGAAGCCCTACACGCAAGAATTGTGATGAAGGCTTTAGGAAGAAGATACGCTTTGTACAGCATCAGAGATTTCACTCAGGAAATACTTGCTTTGCATGTACTGAATGTGGAAAATTCTCATTCAGCAAAAATGATCTTATTACCCACCAGAGAAATCACGTGGGAGAGAAACCCTATTGATGTAATGAATGTGGGAAAGCCTTCACTACAAACTCAAGACTTTTATATTCATCAAAGAACACATACAGGAGGGAGGCCCTAAGAATGCAGCAATCGTGGAAAAGCTTCTGACCACTTGTCATTTTTAAACAAGAGATTTCATAGGTGTTTGCTTTGGGGAAAGCCTGTTTCCAACTTTAGGCTCTCAAGGTAATAGTATGCAATGAAGAATAACTGAATGCAAAAGGAGAGATGGGGGGGGGGAGAATTAAGTTACTGTAAAGAATGTGGTACTGTCTTGATCAATTACCTCATATTTTATATCAAGAAATTGCAAAACAAATTAAATACAATCAGCCTTGATTAAAACATTTTAGGACATTATATGTCGAAAAAGTTTATCCTGATGTAAATCCTATGAATGTGACAGTAGGAAATTCTTTAGTGGGAGTAAACCCTATCATATATGATCAGAGATCATGAATGAATGAATATTTCTAATTGTCTGAAAGCATCTGCCCCAAACGTAAAACTTCAATAGATGTCAGTTTACACTAGAGAAATACTTTTCTCTTGCAGGAATACGGCATGGTTTGCAGTAATTTATGTTGCCTTATCATTTGCCATCAATCCATGAACAACTCATGAACACATTCAATTTGGTGGACTTGAGCACAACTTCTGATAACTTAATGAAGAAGAGAAGCCTTGAATGAAAAGGCATTCTGTCACGAGTCTGAACAGAAAATATACCTCACAAGCCTTTGTGTACAGAATACCTTCAACAGTATTTCTACTCACCTTGCCTTTGATTTTATAAGTTTTAAACCATGACAATTACTCTCATTGTGAATTAAATTTTAATATATACAACACATGACTGGTCTATGCCTGTTTAAATCTCTAATTAAATATTGCACTTCTTTCTATTTTTGGGTTATTTCAGAATACTTGAAGTACATGTAAATGAATATATTCATTTATAAGGATAACGTTTTAATGTGTTTGATAAAGTTTATAAGTAGTATCAAGTGGTTTACAAAATTAATATAAATGTGACAGTTTTTAAAACTTAATTTTGAAAAAAAACTTAATTTTGAAATAAGCTTAGAATCACAAAAACTGAAATTTTCTTGAGATTTCCAAATGCCCTTCATCTATCTATTTACTCCCAAAGGTAAAACCTTACATAGTCACAGTTCATTCTCAAGTAAAGTGAAATTGTTACAGTGCTCTTAACTATAGGATTGATTTGTATCTCCAGTTTTAGCAAACACTCCTTTTTGTCTGTTTTTATTATATAAATTTAAGGAAATTTTATCACATGTAGATTCTTGTAACCATAGTAGAAATTCAGAAAGTTTTGCTATCACAAACTCCTTCAGGCTATCTTTCATTCTTTTTTTTTAAAAGGTTTTTATTCATTTCAGAGAACAGAAGGGAGAGGGAGATAGAAACATCAATGATGAGAGAGAATCATTGATTGGCTGCCTCCAGCACACCCCCTACCAGGGATCACGCCTGAAACCCAGGCATGTGCCCTGACCGGTTATCAACGTGACCTGGTTCATGGGTTGATACTCAGCCACTGAGTACCACGGTCCAACTACCTTTTCATAGTCACATCCTTGCCCTGACCTTAGTTTTTGGCATCATTGCTCTCTTTGTATCTAATTTTATCATGTATGGAATATTAGAAAAATTGAGTCATTTGACATGTATCCTTTTGAGATGGGCTATTTGAACTTGTAAGAATACATATTGGTCTCTGCCTCTGGTTCCAGGTACAAATCACCTGGAACGCTTGTAAATTTCTAAGTGATAACAGGGGAGAGGGTCTGGAAGTACAATTCATGGTCTATCATGCCTACTTGAGGAAGAATTCATAAACATCCCTATAGCTGGATATCTGGAGACCTTCCAGGTGGCTAAAGACATCCAAGTATGGGGAGGGTGATGCACCCTAACTTCATGGGACTCCCAGACCTTGCAGAGTGTATCTCTATCTGCCTGTTCATCTGTAAACTCAATGTTGAACATTTAGTTAGATGTGTATTTGTTATCACTTTAACTTTGGTAAAATGTCTGGTCACTTGTACTGTATAATCTATGACTTCTGACAATTTTTTAATTAAAGGGCAGGGAAACAACAAATGTAGAAGACCACCTATTGTTTTCACTAGCTGATAAGCGTAGACAGAGAACCCCGCCCCCCCCCAAGGCGGGGTGCCTTTGAAGCCCTAGCAAAGGTTGGAGCTAGGCGCCACCTCTGTTTGTCCAGACAGTGGTAGCTGAAGCAACTTCCCCATTTATTATTATGTAAATCCTTGCTGATGGGCTAGTCTGCCTGTTGCTGGGGCATCCTCTGCCTAAGGGCTATGCTATGGGTGTATCCCAGACCAATAAAAGGTTGGCAACGGCCTGAGCACCAGTGGAGGTCCTTCCCCTTGAGTTGGACTAGCCCGCCTGGCCCCCCCAATATTTCCAATTATCTCTTGTCTTTTCTCTTTTATTTGTGTGCGGCTCTGCTTCCAGGTCCTGAACCCTGAACCACGCGGGACGTGGAGGGAAACACACTCAACAAACAAAGATATATGTTAGAATTTTACTAATTTCATGCCTTTTTCTCTATGCAACAAATCTTCATATTGGGATAGTCAGTCAGTTCAAACATTTTTCAATTTTTCATGCCGATAACCAAATGAGCTGACGTTCTTCCCGGGTTTGTGTCTCACAAAGTTAAATAAAATCTCGGACCAGAAGATTTAAGCAAGGGGTGTAGGATTTATTCAAGCAGATACAGACTCCCTGCACAGGGAGGGGACCCAAGAAAGGGTACCCACTGAAGCTCACTTGTCTACGGGTTTTTATCCACCATAGACTCACTCTTTGTCTATCCATGTCACTCTCTGATTGGCTCCTTCTATCTGCCTTGCCTAGGAACAGATTCAAAGCCCACTTGCTGTTCCCCCTCTTTCCTTTTTTCCTCCCCCTTCTTTTGACCTTTCCACAGTATTCTGCACTTGCAAGATAAACATCCTAGTGGTTTGGAGCTCGGCTTTATGGTCATGTACACATTTGTTTTCCTATATGTCCTACCTTAACTGCCTATCTTGTCTCCAACTCCTCTCAGTTCCCCCTTTGATTAGGAAACCCCAACTGCTGTTGGGAACAGGGTCGACAACGCTTCTGGCTGCTTCCTGCTGAGTAGGGGCGTTAAGTGGAAGCGGCTGTCAGGGTCCCATGGGAGGTGAGCGACCTAGAGGTCCAGGGAAGAAAGATGTGACTTTTATCTAAGGCTCCATCTGCAGGACCATTTAGAGCTTTATAGCCTCTATGCAAGAAGAAAAAATGTGTATTAGAGGGTTTAACAAGCAAGACCCAAAGTTGAGTGTCAGGACGAGCATAAAGAGGGGATCCAGCTAGAGGTAAAAGCCAGGAGGCCCAGTTAATATTCTGTAGCCAGGTGCCTCCAGATTCCGAAAGTTGTCAGACCTTCGAGGCTCTATCGACGAAATCCTTACCTTCATCCCTTACTATGGGAGACTGGTTGGCATAAAAACTGCATTCTTCCTCTAGGAATAGGCATAGTCCCCCTTTCTCAGCTGTGAGAAGGTCAAGTCCTCTCTAATTTTGGAGGGTAACCCAAATTAGCTAGAGTCCATCTGGTCTTGTAATGCGACAATACTCTGGGAAATTTCTTCCAAGCTTTCTGTAAGGTCTTTAGATGTCATCCCCTGGCAGCTAAGGTATCTCACCCAGGAGGGGCACAGGGCTTTCTGGCATAATCAGGAAGGCCTGGGAAAAGAACAGCTCACCCCAGCTACACCCTAAAGGCTCAGAAAAATAGCTCTTTATGGGCTTTCCAGACACACCGGTGAAGGTCACAGCCTCTGAGGCTGTTTGACCGGGGTTCGAGAGTGCTGAGAAAGTGGCTCCAGTATGGAGGAGGATTACCCGGGGCTTCTGGGAGGAGTTCAGAGTCCTATGGGGAGCCAGGTAGGGAGGCTCCAGGGCCTGTCAGTCCTGCTGGACCAGTTGGGTCATCGGTTCGGCTCCCTGAGACTTCCGTAGTTTCCATTACAAACAGGACAGGGCTTAGGAGGCCATTTTGCTCGCCCTTTCCTCCATTGAGTAGCCTTTGCACCTTTGCATACACAGCTGAGTATGTTTGATGTATGTTGTTTTTTTGTTGGATCTCTATTCTGTTCCTCCTACATATATGTTCATCTTTTCACAAATACTATCAATACCAAAGCAACATACCAGTGTTGAAATATGTTGATAACAGCCCTGTATGATGGTTCTTTTTAGTCAGAATTGTTTTCCTATTTTCAGTCTAGGCACCTGACAAATACTACCTTTACCAGGAGATCAATGTTAAGTCATTTTGATATTTTCTACCCCTGAATATGGTATGATGAGAAAGAGACTTCAATTCCCAAATGCATAACCCCTGTTTAGTGAGGGAATCTTACAACAACCCAAAGGATGGATGAATATACAAAATACTTGGTTAGTAATCCTCTAAATAATTGAGGCCATAAATGAGAAAAAGACTGAGAAATGGTTACAGAGCAGAGATACTAGTAATTAAGGAAATGATCTCTAAATGCAATATTGTGTTTTGGATTGAATCCTGGGACAGATAAAGGATTGAACTGGAAAAACTTGTGAAATCCAAGTAGAATCTGTAATTTGGTTGTGCATTATGCCAGTTAATATCTCAATTTGACAAATGTAGCATGGTTATATAAAATGTTCACATGATGGGAAGACAAATGAAGTTATAGGGGAACTCTTTGCAGAAGTACCTTGTGACCTTTGTGTAAATATAAAATTTTGACAAAATATGAAGCTTATTAAAAATAGTTCTAATTTGTGTCAACTATAATACAATAAAACTGGATGAAATAGGTAGATGTAATTTTCTTTTAATTTCTCAAATGTATTTCTATATTATACATTTCTTAAAATATTTTATTGATTCAGAGAGGAAGGGAGGGGGAGAGAGAGATAGAAACATCAATGATGAGAGAGTATCATTGACTGGCTGCCTCCTGCATGCCTCCTACTGGGGATTAAGCCGCAACCCTGGCATGTGCCCTTGACCGGAATCAAACCCGGGACCCTTTAGTCCGCAGGCTGATGCTCTATCCACTGAGCCAAACCAGCTACAGCTATATTATACATTTTTTATATATACATATTTGTAATTAATATTAAGTGGTTATAGTAACATCCTGAGTGAACTAGAAGGAT